ATCAACAAAACCAACCTGTCCTCCTCATCTCCTTTTTTACAAAGGGCAGCCTCCTCACGTGGCCCATATTTTATCCGTTTATCTCATTTTTAATTAATGCAGATAACAAGTAAGAGAGAGAGTTTGGCCTTTTTTGGGTCAAATTCGCACCTCACAACTTATTTTTATCGGATTTTTCCCGATTCGAATATGATACAATTTGACATCTTGTAACAAGATCTCGAGAAAAGAAACAATGGACCAATCTTGAAGTTCAGGTCTTTTCATTGCGTTTTACGACGGAAATCCACGTGTGTGAAGCATGTGCTGAATTTTTAGTGAATTTTATCCCCCAAAAAGCGGCGCCCTCAAAAAACAGAGATAATACTATCATCCGTCCCCTCCTGCACATCCCCCTCGTGTGGATGCGATGCGATGAGATCGATACGTACATAATGTTGTTAAACAACAACACCATCACCAAGATCAAGTTTGCTTTAAATGGAACAAATTCATACATCTGGTCGTGCAAAAGCTGCTTCTTCGCCTTCAAAACAAAGTAATCTCGTATCGCATGAAAATCTGAGACAAGTTTTTCCACTTTTTCTCCCAAACTGACTCAGATTTTCTGAATGAAAATAATCGAGTAAAAATTTGAACGAGTATTGTTGGCCCATTTTTGTGCCAAAATTTGGCCCAATTTTCTCCAGAAAAACTTTATGCAGCGCGATTTGTACAGAAAACTAGAATAATGCATACACGGTTCTGCAGAAAAACATCGACGGATAGAAATTTTCTGTGGGATTTTTAAAAAATTGAAGATTACGATATGCACAGAGATTTCATCCATTTCCTGCAGAATTCGACGCAGAGTGATTTCTACTCGGAAATTTAATACATATTTTCAGCTTTTTTAGTGCATACAAAATCTTAAATACTAACTTTGATAATATGCAAATAAAGATGTACTCCATATTTTTCGTGTGACATTTTGTTCCGCTCCGTGCACGCATAAAGAAGGAGGATGCCTCAAAAAATTGTATGTACCTTTCCATCCACCCGTGCATATTTATTTATGTGCCATTTAATTCGTGCAAACTATTTATTTACATTTCTACCCACGTTCCGCACTCTTTCCTTCCTTACGTAAGTAACGGCATGCACGTAGTTCAACACAAAACGTAAAAGTGACGTGAAACACTTCATGTTACAACTTTTGAGCGACATTTTTTCCGCAAATGAAGAATTCAAAATGCCCAGCATTTAAATTCATGAGGTCAATGTTATAATAAATGATGGCATGCATTTCCGCATGAATATCGACCAGCCTAAAAAAATTGGCACAATTTTTCTCCATCGTATTTTTCTGCGGAATGAAGAATTATATAGAAATTTTCTGCCTAATCCTTGAGTCCTATACACAAAAATTAGACTAACAATTTTCATACCAAATTTGTCAAACTTATGCCAAAACCACTTTAGGATTTGCATACTTTATTTCCCATAGTACTTGTTATAGACAGGTTAATGCAAGTTCGAAAAATCAGACTAATTGAAATTTTAACCCATCGGAATTTTCATGATTCTGTTGTCAACCAAACAATCACAATTGAGCCGTAAAATTCTGGTAGATTTAAAGTTTAGCCAATCTGATTTTTAGAAATTTCAAACTTGTCTTCAAAACCTAACATGGAAAAGAAAATATGCAATGCAACCCTCCCGAAGACAATATTACGGTGCTAAAAATTCCCAAAAATGCATTTCTACAAATTTCACAACTCTATTTTCCTGGTGGGCACAATCGTGCCGGTGGTGGTGACGCCACACGATGGAAATCTGCCTGAATAATGTAACAAGTGTGAAACCACTCGAAGAAAGATGACTGACTTGCAACGACGACGAGGGTTTGATCGGAAAACAGTTAACCCTTTAACAAAAATTTCTTCCTCCTCCTCATAAAAAAAGACAAAGGGTGACGAGCGCAGATGTTCCTTCTGTCTTTCAAGAATGGATCGAGAGAGAAAAAAGTGCTAACAACCATTAATTGCCTAAAATCAGCATCACCATCGAGTTGCAAATATTTACATTGTAGTCGAAATGTCAAGAAGAGGAGGGCCGTGCAAAATGGATGGCGCCTTTTGGCTATTACACTTTTCGAAATATCACCTGGGTAAAAATTTGAACAGCTTTCCTACAGAAATTTGGCACGATCTTCTGCATAGAAACTGTATGCAGATCGATTCGTGGATAAAACTATGCGCAGAATTTTGTACGTATCGTTCTGCAGAATAAAAACCCATCGAAATTTTGTGCAGAATTATGTAAAAAAAAATTATGCCCAATAAAATATGATCCAGCCTTTGTCCATTTCTGCAGAATTCGACGCAGTGATTTCTACTCGGGCAAATTTTTAGCTTAAAAATCTACCCAGACATTGGCCCTTTTTCAAAAATACAACCAGGGTCAAAGTTTGGTGTACAAAATTGGCAAACTTTGCCCTACTATTTCACCCTCTGGTCAATAGCATAAATAATTCGCGCATCCTTTCCGCATGGCCTGTTACATAATAAATCTAAATCCCATCACGAGACCGAGAAACTGTGAATATTTACATAAAGATAAAAATAACGGGTATTATTTATGATAAAGTAATAAGTCTCTCGGGTGGACGTTACGTTACGCCATCATCGTTCCGTCAACTAAAAAGATGAAGAGATTCGCATCCTCAACTTCATCAGGGAGACCAGCCAATTTAACATTTTTTATTCCCTCCGTGCAAAAATTATGTCAAAATATCTACCTTGAGAAACGGAAGTCATGCATGCGACACCGGATGTCACATGGTCAGCATGGCCCGTGGTCAGCGTGGCCTAACTGTTCGGGGTGGTTTGGTGTTTTTACAGTCACACCGTCACGTCACGTCCTCGGCGTGACATTTACTTATTTCTAAATCCAATCCAACTGTGATCTTGCGACCGACGTGACAAACAGTGTTTCGGCACTGGCGAATTTCTACATTTCTTGGACTGCAAAGGCAAGAAATGCAAGAAATGTGAGGTGTAAGAAACTGCGAGAAAGTGCAAGAAATGTGCGCAATCTAGCCACGCGCCGTATGAACTATTTCCAACGGCGCGGACTCGTTTCTCGCGCCGTGCATTTCTTGCAGGTCAAAATACCTAAAAAACCCACTTTCTTGCAGTTATTTCTTGCAGGTTATTTGCACCCAGTGTTTCATTTCTTGCGGGTTTTCCACATTTCTTGCACTGCACAGAAAAAATGCACGAAATGCAAGGCGCAAGAAACTGGGAGAAATATGCGCTATCCAGCCACGCGCCGTATGAAGTATGCGCGGTGCACGTGCGGTGTATTTCTTGCGCCCTGCATTTCTTGCAGGTCAAAATATTTCGCTGCAAGAAACCGCTTTCTTCCCGTTATTTCTTGCAAGTGGTTACTTACTTGCACCTGAAACATTGGTACCGAAGATGATTTATTATGCCATGCCTATTTTTAGCCGTGTAACATAATCCCCACGAAAAAAAAACTGAACAATGAGATCACGTCATTTTCATGACGATATTATTACTTATTATGATACACACAAATGACAGAAATCACGAATATGCATCTTGACAAAAAGGTGTCCATCTATCCATTCTTTGATGTCATATTTAATCTTATCCTGGTAAAAAATAATACGCAATTGTAAATGAGAAATGGATTTCTTTTAGAGCTGCCGAACTTGTCAAGTCGTCGATGTCTGTCGATGAGGTATGGATAAGAAGAACATAATGTGAAATCGTGCCTCCAAGAAAAAAAATCAGTCAAGTTATGTATATATCTTCATCAGTGGGGGAACCGTGCAGAAATTATGTGGCAAAAATATGGATTTTCTGGCATTTTTTGCGTAAAAATTATTAATTCAGTGACATTGTTCATGAAGAATATGAATTTAATAAAAATGGTGGAAATTTTTAAGATAATGGGTGTAAAAATATGGATTTTATGGCATTTTTTTTCATAAAATATTATTAATTCAATTGTAAAGAATTGCTCGTATGAATAAAAAATCGTTCAAAATATTTTGAAAAATTCTTGAAAATTGTTTATGAAGGATATGTATTTAATAAAATAGTGGAAATTTTCTTGAAAATGTGTAAAAAAAATATGGATTTATCGCATTTTTTCATAAAATATTATTAACTAAAAAATTGTTCAATTATTTAAAAAATGTTTCCAAAAGTATTACATACTTTCGAAAAATGCTTGCTGGTAATATGAAAAATGTTAAGTACTTAAATATTTTCCCGCTGTCTGATAATAATTAATGAACGTCCCCAGAGTGGAATTAAATTGGAATGTGATCCAAAAAAAGATACGAGCTATTTAAAGCTTCAAGTTTGTTTTATTACGAATCGAAGCCTGCACGATTTCCGAAATCAAAGGAAAAAAATTGCATGCACATAACACACAAGTTTATGTATTGTGTTGTCAAATGTTTGATGCTTTGTGTAAGAAATAAATCGTGGCACTCTAATTTCGTTACTGGTCGCGGGAATACCAGACATTAATTCGGAAGCAGTGCAAAATTACGGGTATATTTAGACAAGTCAGAAACAGATCTGTCGGTTAGTGTAGACACTTTTACTCACAAATTTTGACTAAAACATATAGTAATAAGTTTCCATGTCAATATTGCAATTTTGTAAAAAAAGTGTTTATAAAAATGATTAAAATTTCGTGAAAATGTAGATGATCTACAAAATTTCATGAAAATATAACTTTTTAAATCTACCCGTAATTTTTTTTATAGAAAAACACAATTTTTCCCATAATTTCCCTACGAAATTTACTATAGGATTTTTTTCATGAAAATAATACCAATTTTTACACTGTCTCGTATAATTTTCTATGGATTTTTACAGATTTGCAGACTTTTTACTCTAAATATCAAATAAAGATTTTTATGAAAATGATGCAAATTACATTTCAAAAAATCCACCCTTAACAAAAAAAGCACTCACCGTCCGACGATGATGGCACACCTCCTCCCACATTCGAATCCATTCCCGCTCCCGTTCCGGCGTCATGGATCGGGCTACAATTATCCTCCGCCGATCCAATCCCGCTACTCCGTCCGCACGAGTCTTGCTCTCTCGACGCGTACGATCGTCTATTACTCCTCCCACCAACACCGCCCCCCACAACCGCCGGATTTGAACAGCGGCGCGCCTCAATCCCCAACAAATTCCCGCGCTGCCGATGAACCGTGTCATAATCTCGGGGCGGGAATAAGATTGGCGTATTGCGATTCCGCGTATTCAACTTTTCCCGCAATTCTGCCGCCAAGGAGTCGTACAACGTCGCGATCCGCTCCCCGGGAATGTTTGAAACGCCGGAAGCCGAGCCAAATCCGCGATCCGAGTTGTCCGAAGAGTCTGACGTGCGACAGTCAAAATCCGGCGTGCCGCTCCCCCCGCCCGAGCGGAGGGCATTGTGAGACGAAGAATTATGCGCGTGCGCCTTAACCGGACTGCTTACCGGTGACGAGGACGACGTCGATGTTCCAGACGACACAAGTAATCCCTTCGATTGCAGGCGGGACTCAATGTCGCGAAATTTACGTTGATTGTCTTCTCGGTTGACGAGCGTTTCGAGCTGACTTTTTAAAATTGCCGCCGTTTCGGGGGAATCACATCTGTGGAGGGAAAGGTAAAAAATTAGCCGCGATTTTTAAAACCTTAAAACCACAAAAAAATGCTTCTGAATTATTATGTAAAGCAAGATTTTAGCTCAAATTCCGCAAGCCTAGCCGCAAAACTGCGAAAATTTATTGCACAGTTATTCTAATTTTTTGCCAGTTAGTAACGATGTCCATATTTTGGCACAAGTTGCTAATTAAGTGCTCATCCATCCATCTTTAACAGCTTCACTTTTCAATAAGCTTTTGCAAGAGTCACGAGAAATCGGGCATGCGTGTCGCATCTTCATTTACTTTTATGCTACATAGTTTTGGTCTGCATGTGCGGAAAACCATTTCCGGTTTTTTAAGAAAAAATGCTTACCTAATAAATTAAGTAATTTTTCATTTTAAATTGGTTTTCTTCTAAATGTGCTCATTCTAATAAAGATGAGACTATTTTGATGAGGTGAAGGGTTAATTATTATTATGCTAATTTATCATCATTCATAAGTGATTTTTAAGAATTGTGTAATAAATCTATCTACGAATCAATGAAGTCTGCGGGAAGGATGTCATCAATTTTTGGGGGTTCAAATTTCTCGATTCGCGTACATACTTTTTAAAAATTTCTTAATTTTTTCAGAATTTTATAAAATTCCTGCTATGCATTTACATACGAATGTAAAATCTACAGAGGCAAAACTAAGTAAAATGGGTAAATTTTGTAATACAATTTTACACACATTTACAAATTAAAACTACGCCGCCTTAAGTTTACAAAAATTTGTGAGCCAAATTTCCTCTTAAAATTTTGGCAAAATTTTGCAAATTTTATAAGTTTACGGAATTTACGGATTTTACAATGTAACCAAGGCCTGCGTGAATTGTCTCACTAAAAAAGATTGTAAATGTAAAGCTTAATTTGGTACACTTTATCCGGGTAAAAACCACAAAATTTGCAAAAAGAATATGCAAATCCATGGAAATTTTCCATTGCAAAAATACATCACACCCCTTCCGTAAGGCCCCTTTAGCATCTACATAAAAAATAAACTATACCACGTCACAATTTTAATGGATCTCTCCTCTCCCAAAATTTAGTTTATTCTGTAAGAGCACACCAAAATACAGAGTGGTCTCCTCCTCGTAATGACTTTTTCTAAATAAAAAGTTATTCTAATTTTTCACCAAGTTTTCTATTCTCGTCTTCTCCTTTATTTGGCCTGATGTAAATATGTTGCCTCACTTTTTTCACCACAAGCACCAACCACTCAATAAATGAATTCTTTAAAAAAAGCTTAGGTGAGGCTTGCTTAAAAGAGGAAAACAAGCTGTTATCATCGTGAACTAAAATAATATGCGAAGTCAATGTTCATCTCACGATTTATAATTTTTGGCAAATATAACAGCAAATTATATGCGTTTGGGACAATTTGCCTCGCCGTGGGCCGTGATTAAATGTTTGATATAAATATATCTTTTAATGATCATAGCTAAATTTGAACTATATTTAGCTATGATACGTATTGCAATAATTAAACTTCGTTATTATTTGATTCTGTTATCTTTGATGACTTGCATGAATATGTTTCAAAAATCAGCCTACATATATTTGAAAAATTAAGTGTTCTTAACTATGATATTTTATATTATAAATAACCCATACTTCGTAAATTTTATCAGCAAGCGATTATTAATAACGAAATTAACTAAACCCCGCATCATTCCGTATGAATTATTTATCGACATTGGACACTAATAAATTTTAAAATATATTTTAATTCTTCGTATCACAAACTGGCCCACGGCGAGGCAAATTGTCCCAAACGCATATAATTTGCTGTTATATTTGCCAAAAATTATAAATCGTGAGATGAACATTGACTTCGCATATTATTTTAGTTCACGATGATAACAGCTTGTTTTCCTCTTTTAAGCAAGCCTCACCTAAGCTTTTTTTAAAGAATTCATTTATTTTTTGTTTTTAAGCCTAAAAATAAGAGTCCCTCCCAAATTCACTTCACCATCCCCTATGGTATAGATGCATTGCATTGCATACCAAATTAATTATAACCTTTGAGTGCGGATGCGTTACATATCAGATAAATTCCCTATATGTAAGTGTAAATACACTGTAGAAATCTGGTATATTCAGGTAGGTATTGTTTTCTCAGTATCAAAGTTCCTGCGTGGTATTAAAATTATACCGGTCCGTAACAATTTGCTGCCGATATGGCAAAACTTTAGTACGGAGCAATTACATGTTCTATTACACTCTTAAAAACCCGGTGTTAATCGTCACTAAACGGTGTGCGTATGTGACTTCACCGTGCGGTAATAAGGTGTCTCACCTAAAATTAACACTAGCTAGTGACAATTTGTCCCCCTGCCGGGAAGATTTATTATCAGGCTGTGAAAGAGCACCGGGTTTTAAGAGTGTACATTCTTAACTTCAGTTAAGAGTGTGCATAAATATTAGATATACACATAATATATGTAGATGTACATATTTCCATACGCCAGTACAGGTCTCAATTGTTTCACTTATGTTGGTTACTAATGGAAACCTCGTATTTAGGTATGCATGATAAGTAATGGAGGGCTGCTAGAAGTAACGTAACTGGTTGCAGATACCACCAAGAAAAGTCTTTCATTTCTTATCCGATTTCGCTCGGGTTTGCTTTAAATGACGCGTTATAGATTTCTGCACATGAAAATCAGGGTCTCGCACTATCATTGCATGGTAAAAGTGAATTTGCCAGTCGTTTGAAAGTTTAAAATCGATTTTAAGTGCGTTAAAATAAGATTGCCATGTCTCTAGACCTGACGGGCATCATCTACCCAGCAAGGTCTGCACGATTGTCTTTTACACCATTTTGATACGATTAGCCGTTTTGTCACAAACTTGAGTGGAACTTTGGGAGGGGGTGTCTGTTTGCATTCTTAGGCTTCGCCGTAACCATGCACTTTTTCATGTGGTCATGGTTACTATGCCTCACCTAAGAAAAAACCACACATCTTCTTCGCCATTATTTATGAGCAGAGGGCGGTTATGGATTTATTTTCAACTGTTTCATTTTATCACGACTAACTTTGTCCGTGTGTCGCTTAACTCGTATAGATCACAAAAATTTCTAAATATTTTTTTTTCATATGGGAACATATTTCTAGGTTTCCACTATTACTTCAAAACGGAAATCTTTTATATATTTTTTTCAAAAATACGAATATATTTTGTAATTATTTAAACGACCTGAGACAAAATTTTTTTACTCAAAGAAATTTAATTACAAAAATCCAAAGGATTAAATTCAAAAATGCAAATTTTGCTAAATTATTATTAGTTATGCTATTTTTCGTACATATTTCGTAAATATTTTAGCGTTTTCACCTAAATACATAGCCGGCCTCTGTTTCTTACCCTTTTTAATGAGATTTTATACAAGGTAAAATTCTATAAAGTTATAAAAACTGTTTCATCACTTGATTTGGTCAATTTGAAAGTTTAACTTGGCACCAAGTCAACAAGATTAGGAACCAAATCTCGTCCAAATTTTGATTTCTATTTTTTCTCTGAGTAATTAATTGACAACAAAATTCCCCTTATTTTCGCCTCCTCCTCAAAATTTTGTCCCTTCTTTTCCGCACGGCCCTTCATTTACATAAATGACATCGAATTGCAATCACGCACATTTTTTTGCACTGTCCAATATTCAATTAAAATTTAAATCTATGATTTGTTTGCAAATTTGCGTGTAACGAAAACAAAATTAATTTCATTGTTTCTTGTCAGAAATAAAGCCTTACTTGAAAAAATTCATTAAAAAATGATAAATTTTATTGTTTTATTGATTCTTGTCAGAAATGAAAAAAATCTTCATAAAAAATAAAATGAAAAGAGTGATGCAATCTCGGGAAAAAAATTCGTCTCTCATTTTTTTGCCTGTCAAGAATTGCGTCAAGTTTATTTTTTATTGGTGGATCGATGATTTAGTATTGGCTGAAAATTTAAGATTACGCTTATTATCAGTCTCACGACAGTGTTTTTTATTGTTATTATTAAAATTGGTGCAGAGTTGAAGAGAGAATAAATAATAAAAGTGGTGAGTGATTGATCATCAATAAAAATAAAAAGTTTGATCAGATTTTTTTTATTCGAATTCGCGATGAGAGGATCAGATTACGGGAAGTAAGAGGAAAAAGATATTGACGATAATTTGTCATCGAAATCAGCACAATCATAAATTCAGAGATATTTTTTCTTAAAAATTTCGAGAAATTAAAATTCCTAGGTACTTTTATTTTTTTATTTCTGTGCAAAATTGGAGAAATTTTACCAAATTTTTATTTTTTGCATATTTTCCTCTTAAACCTATATAGTGCCAAAATAAATATTCATTGCTTTGTAAATTTTCTCACATCAAAAATTTAATTTAGTTTTAACCAACCGGATTAAAAACTCGTATTTTAAAAAATTTCCGGAAATTTTGTAAATAGTAAATAATCTCAAGTCCACTTTTAAATTAATTAGTGAACACTAATGTAAATATTAAAAATTTTGCACAAGATAAAATTTAAACTGATTAATTTTTGCGAAATTTGGCACCATAATTCCTGGCAAATTCTACAATTCTTTCCCTCTCCCAATTTTCACTTTCAACAAATAGCTCCAAATCAAGCCAAAAATCTCTTGCACAAAACAAAATCTCACCAAATATAGATAAATTTCTTAAAAATTTCCCCCTAATTTTTTTCATGAAAATTTTTCTCACCTGTAACAATGCACATGTACGGGACACCTCGTATCAGGATTGTAAATGAGTAGGATACAGGACACGATGTCGTCGTTGGGCGCGGGCGCTTGGAAGACGCAGGTGATGGCGTGATGCGGAATGAAGTGCTTGTCGCCACCTCCCGTCCCCTCCAGCGGCACCACCCCCGTCGTCGTCCGGTGGTGAACGGGTATGATTCGGAGCCCCTTCTGACCCACTTGCAGCGTCACTTTGAGCGCCTGCATGCGCGCCTCCTGACTCACAAAGTATTGGAGGACGGGCTCAATGTAGTGCGGGCCGCGGAGGCCGCGAGACTCTTTCGCGCCCAGGAAGAGGACGTAGTAGGACGACTTTTTCATCTCGGAGGACGACGATGGCGACAGGTTGGGTGGGGAGGTGTGCTCGTAGTGGTGGTGGTGGGGGTGGTCACCCGCGATGGGGAGCAGGGCCATGGTTTAGTTGGTGAGTTAAAATCGTCTGAAATTAAAAAAGAGGAATTTATGAGATTATGTTTCTTTTCAAATTTTGAAATAAATATTGTCGGGTTAGCCATATGTTTTGCATATTTTTAGAGAACGGATAGGTTTAGGGTTTCGAAATAAAGTTATTTTATAGCGAAGGTTTCGTTATTTTTTATTTTTTCAGTAATCAGATGTGGCTCTTCAAAATTTGAAATAAATTTGAGAATTAAAGGGTTTGATTTCGTCTCGGTTTTGTCGTGTGAATATTGCATATAGGTTTTCGTTATAGTTTTTCGAAAATTTTCCAATTTTCAAAAATATCTATCAAAATTTCATGTATATATTTCCTAGAGTGAAATTTGCATACTCAAATTTTCCTGTTACCGTTCAATTAATTTAGACTATTTTCATCCCCTTAAATAGAGTTCTTCTCCGTTATAAGTATTTCATTTTTGAGGGGTATCAAATTCAGCAAATCTTTTCTGTATTGTGTAGCATCCACCACTTCAAAATGACACCTTCACCATTTCACTTGCCTAATATGGGAGAAAACTGGATTAGAAATAAAACCTTAACCGTGGTCTTTCTGAGAAAATGAGGCTTTAATTTAAAGAACTTAAAATCTCTCTTGATGAGAAATCCAACCATTCTGCACAGATTACGAGGAAAGATCTTCAAGTTCTTCACTGTAAATACCGGTGATTCTTCCCACCTTTGCAAAACATTTACATTTTGGCATTGTCACTTCTTACGGGGCGTGACACAATGTATCTTTCCTGTCTAAATTACTTTACATTTCTTCAAAATTTTCCCAGAGTTTCGAAAATTTCTTTAAATTTGGCATTATTTTCCTATCACCAGATTAATACCATTTAACAAAATCATCAAATTAAGCAAAAACCATGCCAAAAAATTAATAATTTTCCCCTCTAAATATATTCCATGTTTTCAAAATTATCGCTCACAATTTTGAAAATTTCTTGAAATCCGTCATTAGTTTCTTATCACGAGGAAGTTAACGGTGACAAATGATGGCATCATCATTACTCACTCCATATTCAAAATTCATCAAATTACTCAAAAACCTAGACTAACCAAAAAAAGTACAATTTTCAGACAACACTTCACTCGCCAAAATCCAGTTGCCAAAAATGGTCAAGATTTCCCGTACAAGAAAAACAACAACTTTTCATCAAAAACTTGTTAAACAAACTTGTTAAACAAAACAAAGTTCAAACTACGTACGTAAACATTTATTTTCTTACAAAGTCAAACCTATTGAAGTATTTTAATTGAACAGAAAAGAAAGAAATGAGACCGGATGTCTTGACTGCACTTCTTTTTTAATCAGAAGACGACATATCACCACCTCCCAAGTTTAGTTCCTGTCTTGCATCACCACCACAATTTATTAGATAATTAGATTACCATTCAGTCCAATCCACACCTTTGTGTGGGGGCTGTGCATGCAAAATCTGACCCCAGGTAACTCCTCAAAACAAGCAATTTTACTCATGTTGCACCATCCCAAAGTCAAAATTAACACGATGTAATTCAACAATTATTCGTATGTACGAACACTTATCATCAGAGGGCGGATATGTATTTATTTTAAACTTCTTCATTTGAGGATTACTCATGGTCAAACTTTGTTGGTGTGCTTGCTAACTTGCATAGATCACATATTTTTTTAAAATATTTACGAATTGTCACATATTTCTAGGTTTTCAGACATATAAATATTTCCGATATTATTTGCGAAATATGTAAATCTTTTAGATATTTTTTTCAAAAATGCAGTGTATATTTTTTACATATTTCAACGATGTGAAAAACAAAGTTTTTTTCTCAATGAAATTATATACCACAACAAATCCAGATATGTTCAAAAATGCAAATTTTTGTGAAAATTATTTTTTTCGTACATATTTCAGCAATTTTTTCCCGTAAATACATATCCACCCTCTGAACTTATCACACTAAACTATACCCCGTAAAACTGCAACACCTCTCGCATGCCGATTGTATCGCAATGCAATTTGACGTATTTTTACCTAATTCCGTGTCGGATTTAATTTCCTCTCGAGAATAGGATGATGAGATATACGTGCAAAATTTACTGCATGCAAAAAGTGTGCAAAAATATTTAATAATAATTAGGTCACTTATATCTATCTGCACGGGGGAAGGAAGTCATGTCACAATTCGAACGCGTAGAATCGCACGCTCATTATTTTAGCGTCTTAATTAATAAATGCATTCACAAAATGAATGACGAAGCACACGTGGGTGTCATCATATAATTTTTTTAATTATACACCCCAAATTTTAAATGGCGTTAAATTTTGGCAAAAAACCTCTACTTTTCCACACCTCTCGGAATTATACCTCAAAATTAATTATTTTACCCTTGGCAAAAATTCAGCCCTGAATTGAGCAGATATCCATCTTTACCTACCTAAGTGAATGCATCGATTAATTTATCGTCTTCTCGATCTGCACGGTACACAAGTCTCAAGATCAAATAAATATGTTAGCAAATAAGCAAGTAATAATAATTGAGGGAAGGAGAGACTTTGTGCAGAAAAACGCAAGCCGTGATGACCAAAAGGCGGATATATATTTACGAAAAAAAGTTGCAAAAATATTAATTCAGTATTTATGCAAAATGCCAAAATATTTACGAAAAATGTTTTAAATTGACCAAATCAAGTGACGAAGCAGTTTTTGTAAATGTTAACTTGTATAAAATCTCATTAAAAAGAGTTGATGACCAGAAGCCGGTTATGTATTTATGTAGGAAAAATTACTAAAATATGCATTTAATATTTATGATAAACGTAAAAATATTTACAAAATATGTATGAAAAACTTAAACATTTTCATATATAAAAATATAACAATTTTCAAAAAATTTGTATGTTTGAATTTAATCCTATGTGGTCTAATCTCTTTGAGCAAACAATTTCGTCTCACATCGTTGAAGTAATTACAAAGTATACGCCTTTCGTGGAATCAATGAACACGTACTCGTAAACTAAATATTGACAACAAACAATTGAAATATTTTTGGCATTGCAGACTTGCCAAAAAAATAAATCTCATTTTACCTGCGGCATATTTTTTTAGTGGTCAAATTCGCATAATTAGCACAATATTAAGAAACTTTTATATGTATTTTTCGCCTTCGTCTTCATCCTTTTCATGGGACGAGGAGGCGGTACAGGTTTAAATTTGCATCGCTTTTCTCTAGGTCATAAATAGCAATTAGGCAGCCTCTCCAGCCCAGTAAAGATCTATCGCTTTGCATGGACAAAAAAATAAATGGAAAATATTTACAAATGTTTCGCGAACATAATTGAGAAAACCTGACTGCATTCGAGTTGTACAAAATCAGTCAGGTAAAATCAATTCCATTTTCTCTTCCTTAAAAAAGTAGTCATAATATTTACGTAATTCGATACTTATAACAAACGGAGAAGAAATAAATAGCAATTAGCAAGCTGATTGTTCGCAATTCGGCGAAAATTTGCCGATATTTTCATAACTTTAACTACCACGAAAACCTGACTGGACTCGATTTATAAAATAAACGATTAGAAAACAAAAACTTCCTTAACGGCATAAATAAGTAGCAATTAAGCAGCCCAGAGTAGATTTCGCATGGCGAAAATTTTCGCAATTTTAACTATTACTAAAACCTGACTGGCCTCCATTTATAAACCGTCAGAAAAATCAATTCCATTTTCTACTCCTCCAAAATTTCCAATTAATTTCCAAAATCATTTCCAATTAAGTAGAAATAAATACAAGTATAATTACACTTAAAAAACAGAACTTGTTACGTAACATTGGATGGATGACCTTTAATGCAATCATTATTCGCACAACTCGCCTTTACACAAATTCTTTCCCATGACTGCTTGCTCATTCAAGCTCATTCATAATGAATAATTTGTGGGACGGACTTTTTTTGCACGTAATTACATCCCCGTGCAGAAAGTATGTTGCTTCATTTCTTGCGGATTTGCCACATTTCTTGCACTGCACGGCAAGAAATCCAAGAAATGCGAGGTGCAAGAAACTGCAAAAAAGTGCGAAAAATTGCGAAATTTATTTCGCTGCAAGAAACCAGTTTCTTGCACTTATTTATTGCAGGTGGTTATCTGCACCGGATAACCAAAAAATAGCCACATCCTTCCCGCACGGGTGGCAAACTAGTCTAGAATATTTGTGCAGTCAAGAATTTACTGATGGGTCCACTTTTTACCGAGATTTCTTTGAGGCCACACAATTGAATTGTGGTTCACAATTGTGGATTCAGTGAATTTTTTTGTGGATTAATCCCATGAATTTCTTCAAAGTGGTCGAGTAACAAAATTCCACAAATGTCACGTGCAATAATTCAAAATCAAAGTTAAGACGATATTTGTTCAGTGAAGGAAAATTGGTTACCATAGCAACCAAAACCATGCTGTAGAAATCACTGTGTCGAATTTTGAAACAATCGACAAAAGCTTATTTTGCTTTTTTTTGCATAATCCTTCCCAAAATTTCTGTGGATTTTATTCTGCAGAATCGTATGTGCGTAATTCTGCACAAATCGCTCTATATAAAGGTTTCCTGTAGAAAATTTAGCTAAATTTTTGCACGAAAAAATATACAACCTTGACCACAAATTCATAAATAAATAATTTGTCAAGAGATGCAAATTCTTCTTACTTTTAATTATCTTCTCTCTTCCACTTTATTACCCCGTGTGGGATTTGTTATTGCGTGTGTGTGTAGCAAAAAATTAAAGAGATGCAAATTTCGTGGAGAAAAAAAACGCTAAGATTTTATGACGACTTGCCATCCCAGATTTTTAACATGGATGTGAAAAGTAGTAACTTATTGCTGTGGGAAATATGTGGGAGTCGTGTTCTCACTGAATTTCAGGTATGAAGACGCCAAGCTTTTTGTAAACTGTGTAAAATTCGAAGCTTATGAAAATCTCGATCTGAATTTGAATTTTGT